ACGAAATTCTTCGAGTGGTGGTTGCCATTGTGTGATTATTTCTGACGATGATCTGGCAGATCCAACAAAACCTATTGGTGACCCAGAAGGAGCTGTGAAATACATATTACATAATAATTATAAAACTTTAATAATATAACCATAAAAAAATATAATATATATATAATATTTACGTTCTTGTGGAAGAACAACAACATTGCTTGGATCCGAAGGAGGTCCTTCACCGACACTATTTTCTGCACTCACACGAAATTGATATGCTGCAGCTGCTTTCAGATTATTTAACAATATCCATCGATTTTGAGCTGATATATTGTCTCTTTCAATAGACCAATTTAATAAAGGGTCAGGTATAGGTCCTGAAATATGTGTTTAAATATCTTGTATTGATATTATAATTGCTTCTTTATTATATTGTATAAAACTTACCTAATTCAGGAACTTCACGACGTTCCACTTTAAACTTCTTTATAGGACTGTTTCCATCGAATCCTGGCACCCAAGTAACATTTATTGTACGAGGTGAAATTCGCTCTACTCGATCAGCCATAACATTTATAGGAGCAAATGGTATTTCTATTACACTAAGTCGTGCAGAACGTGTTTCATTACCGCCTGGAGAAACGACAGAACACGTATATTCTCCTACGTCAGAAGCACGTACGGCAATAATTTCTAATGTGCCATCATTACGCATTTTTATTCTTTGACTAGCTTGTGTATTTATCACTCTAAAATAAAAATAAAATTTTAATAATCATGCATGAAAACGTAATACCTTCAACATAAAACTATATATAATACTATAATATTTACATTCTTATGATTATAAAAAATACTTACTGTGCATTATGAAACCATGCAATATCATATAAAACACTAGGATCATTTGAAACTTTACATTGTAATTCAGCAGTATGGCCAAGAAGAACAGAAGTATCAACTGGAGGCTGAATAATTTGTGTTCGAACTGTAACACAAACAAATTATATAATATATAATTTTTTAAAAGCCTTATGATATTTCAAATAATTGTTTATAAATTTACCGAGGACAGTGATAAACGCTGACCCATTAACAGAACCAGCTTCATTTGCACGAATACAAGTGTATTTACCAGCATCATTTAGTTTCACAGCTGCAATTAAAAGATCGCCATTTTCTATAACTTGTACTCTTCCAGCAATTTCAACAGGCATTGTATCTAAAAAATACAATATAGGAAGTGAGCATAAAATTGATTTAAATATTAATAATCTAATTTTTTTATATTTTAATTACCATTATAAATCCATGTAGAATTAGGTATTGGTGCTGCAATAGCATTGCAAGTTAATACTACATCCTTTCCATCTAACACAGTTAAATTTTGTGGACCATTTTCCATAATTGGCCCAGATGCTGTAAATAAAAATACTCATGTAATTATTTTATTTATCTTAAATCATATCATATAGTTCAAAAAATACCTCTGAACTACAGAATATAAAAAAAGGTTTTCTATACCCATACCTCATCAACTATTAATAATAATTTATACATATAACTCATAAATCATCTTATCTGAGGATTAAACTTTTATTCAAATCTATAACTGAAACGATATACTATTTAATAAGCAAGTAAGTTAAAGAAATTCAAACCTAAGCTAAAGGTAAAACGTGCACTTCATACAAACATTCTAACTGTGCTATTAAACGTGCTTCTAATAGTCAGGAAGTGAAATAAGAATGTGCAAACATACAAAAAAATATATTTTTCTACTACCAAGATTTAAATGCATGATTTTAATTAAATAAGATTCAGCAAGCAATATCAAATATGATTAAATACTTTTAAAAGCAGTAGAAATATGAAGAATGAATGATCAATTATTAGACCATTCATATAATTAATAACTTATACCACTCGTGAATGAAAATATATATATAACAAGGCAACATAGTCAAACTTTTTTAAATATTTAGATATTTTAATATACTTTTAAAGACTACAAAAAATTCGTACCTTTTAACAATTATAAAAAAACTTTTTTAATAATATATAAAAATAACTAGTAAGACCATTAATTGACAATATGGATTCCAATATGTGCTTAAAAAACAAATATAAAGAAATTTTTAGTGCTGAAAATACATGTCTCTTACTGGCTAAATATTGAGAGAACTTAAAACGGCGATCAGGCTGGCGAGCTCGGACTACACTATAGCCAGCTGCCCAGCGAATAACTCTGTTTTTCAGATAGCTTCTCAATTCTTCTGTTCCGTAAAAAAAGTATCATTTATATGTATAATATGTTGATATAATAAAATGTAGAAAACGAATTCCTTATGAAATAGCTTACAAAATAGCTTACTTTTAGCTTTCAACCATGTGTAACTAGATGCTTCCCCAGCATCATTTGAAGCAAGACATTGAAACATTCCAGAGTCATCCATAGATAATTTTTTGATTATAAGAGATCCATCTTTTTCAATTTCATACCTAAAAAATATTATTATTACATTAATATAAAGAAAATTTTTATATATAGGGTATCCCAATATTTACAGGACTAATTGCAGGAGCATATTCTACAGATGAAAATAAGAAAAAAATATTATTTGAAGTTCGATTAGAAACGCTTTATTAGAAAGTTACAAACAAATGAAATTGAAATAGGTAACAAGTGTATTTTCCTTCGCAGAATGTGAAAAGTCAAACGTGTTTATCTTATCACTTTAAAATATCTTCTTTGCATGTGAATACAAACTTTATTACAGCACAAATTTTCTGAAAATTTTATTTCATTTCAGTAACAAAGTTATTAATTCGTTGTATTATTTCTTCATGTGAAATCACTTCTGTACGATAAATCTTATCTTTTAAAGTTCCGCATAGGTAAAAATCAAGAAATATTAAATCTGTTGATCTCAGAGCCTATAGAACCGATCCCCTTCGATCAATCCACCTGTAACTATAATTTTCATCCAACCAATTTCTAACTGGTCTAGCATGGTGAGGTGGATAATCATCTAACTGTATCTAACTATTTTAGCGAAACTGTAATGGTACGTTTTTTATCAAAATTAGTAAATCGTTTGATAGGAATTTTCAATCTCTCAGGCAGAAAAAATGGACCAATGAGCAGGTCACTAAGCATACCTATCCATCGAAATTCATATTAAATGGTTTGAAAGGAACAATTTTTTCATATACTTGGTAAGAAAAAATTGTTCTTTTCTATTACTTTCATATACCAATTACAAAATTCATTTAGGAAAATATGCTGTTACCTATTTTAATTTCATTTGTTTATAACTTTGTAATATAGAGTCCTAACCAAACTTCAAATAACGTTTTTCTCTTATTTCTACTTGTAGAATATGCTCCTGTAGTTTGGTCGTTAAACCCCGGGACACCCAGTATATATATTAATCATAAAAATCATTAAATTTGTAATATTGACGTTGTTTAGAATATTACCTAGACCCTAATAGATGACTGATAGGTTCAGTATTAAAAAACCAACTTATTTTTGGAGGTGGAACACCAACAGCATCACAAGATAATGTAACAGTTGAACCATAATCACTCAAAGTTTCCCTCTTTAACTCTGTTATAAACGTTGGTTTTTCTATAACAAATATTTTTTTAGTCAATAATAATAGATAATCATATGCAAAATTACTAATATTAGATAAATATAAAAAATATTTTTTATTAATCATACCATATACAATAACTTTAGCACTTGCATTTACAGTTGGATAACCACCACTTCTTAAATCAACATGACAAGAATATATGCCATTATAAGTTATGTTGGCAGAAATTAATATTAAGGTTCTATTCCATGAATCATTGAAACTGTATGATATTCTGGAATTCTCAATAGATATACCATCTTTTGTCCATAATGTTCTTAATTCATGAAGTGATCTATATAAAATATAAAGTTTTATTTTATATATATTATATAAGAAAACATATAGACTCATCTTGTAATTTATAGATTCATTATACCTAGCATTTGCAATACAATGTATATATGTAACATCTTGATCCTTTAATATTTGAGTATTTTGTGGTCTTACTATAATGGTAGGAGCTACTTCAATGTTGGGATCTCCTATAACTTGTAATTTGAAAAATGGACTATTCTCTTCCTTTCCTAATTGCGTGTTAATAGCTTTGGCTCTAGAAAATATTGAACATAGTAAAAGATAGCAGTTTGCCTTTAAAAAATTGTACTATAGGTTTACAAACCTGTATAAACCTTGATCTTCTTCTGAAGCATTGAGAATAAGTAGTTTATGATCTGTGGTTGCATATTTTATGCCATATAATAATGATCCATCAGAAGTAAACCATGTCACATCAGGTATTGGATGACTTTCAATTGGTGGTAGCTCTAAAATGGCAGCACTACCTGATTCTACAGTTACTATTCTCTTTGTGAGATCTTCAAATAAACCCATATCTAAGGATATAAAAGTGATAATAAAATTTTATATGTTATTGGTTATCCAATACTATCATTTTTTTCATGGAAGATATGAAAAAAACTTACATGCTACTGTGAATGTAATTCGTTCACTAAATATAGATCCTACACTATTTGTAGCAACGCAATGATATACCCCTGCATCTTCTCTATGTGTACTTTCAATTCGAAAGTAAGGTTCTGAAGTGAGCTCATTACTAAGGGGTTTACCATTTTTAAACCATTGATACTTTGGTTGTGGGTATCCTACATAGGGAAATTAAATTATTATAATTAGATGAACATAATTAGATGAACATAACCTTTTATCAATAACTTATTAATGTTATTTATTGAATTTACATATTTACACAATTTAATTTTACAATATTGTACACATAATAAGGATATTAAAATAAATTATTTTGAAGTAATTTTATATTCACCTCTTGCTTGACATTGTAGAAATTTTTTACGATGTTCACTAAGAATATTACCACTACTGGAAGGTTGTGTTGTAAATCGTGGCTCTTGAAGCGGTTCTACAAAACAATATGTTAAATATTATAAAACATAGAAATATATATTATTCAATGTTAATAATTATTATGAATATATGTTTATGTAAATTTATAAATTTACATAATCTATCCAATTCTACTATCCAACTCTATTTTAAAGTCATTAGACCGTAATAAAGTTGGGGTTATCACGTGTTAGTTTACATCTATGTAACTTGGCTCTTTAATATCTATCTATTCACACTTTTCTTTTGTTTTTAATCCTTAGCAGTAATAATGTAACAAAAAATCAAATTTTGGACACCAAACTTCTTTATGGATTGTTATGTAAATATTATGTTATATAAATAATTGTTAGGTTTCAATAGTAAACACATATTCTGCGTAACATCAATCGCTATTATTTTTTTCTGTTCATATAATCAGTAAAGCAGAACGCTGTTACGCTATATAGAGGACGCGAAGTGAGAATATAAATTAATATTTTATCAGCTTAAAAATATAGTATAGTATATAGTAATATATATTGAGTAAAATCATATTGATTTAAATATGTATAGAATTAGCAGAAAAATGGTAGTTCAGCGTGTTCATTATCGTTTCATAGAATTAGATAAAATATCTTTATATATCTTGTAAAATGCATTTAACTGATTTAAAAGACCAATAAAAATTAACATTTATAATATTATTTAAAATATTTATTATTTTACTAAAATAATTATTCTCTGGAAAAAAAATTCAAAGATATCGAATAATAATCAATATATTTGTTTTATTTATTATTAATTTACACTTGAAGCCAGTGTTTCCACTATGCTTAAACTCAAGATATATGCTGATGAAGTACTGAATCTCTATTTTAAGCGATCCAGCTGTCACACTAAAGTGGAATGAGTGCATTTAAAGAGGGCAAGTTTAGAGTGTCAACGATGGATTTTTACCATTGGTGAGTAGTTTATCTCTAGAGCATTTTTAAAAAACTTTCATTTAGTTTATAAAATACTGAGATAATATTAGGATATGAGAAGTTGATGTAACTAAAAGTATCATCTCTTTCCGTAAAACTGAAACATGAACTTTTTAGCATTATTGACGCTGCTTAATTTATATATTTATCAAGAAAAAGAACTAATAAAATTTATTCCAATTTCTTATTGTTTTTATATAATATAAAAACAAGGAAAAATTAAAATGAGGATATTTGATTTTTTTCTATGAAAAATAAAGTGCATAGGAAGCCCGAGGTTGATCACCCCAGACTGCAGGGAAAGAGCTATGCACACGAGCGAACAGCGGAAGCTATAGCAGGGACTGCGTTCCATAAGACGCAATGCGCAACGTTTTGCAGAGGCTCCCCACCGATTATCGGTCGAGATATCTCACGCGAAGCCGCCCGAATCGAAGTGAAATTCGCAATCATATCCGCCAAATGCAACAACAGCGCATTTATTCGATCTTCTTTTTTTAATTTTCATCATTTTCACAATTTGAATATCACGCTATTAGCAACTTAACAACAAAGAGAGTTATTTTGAATTTAGGGCATGTAATACAAAATTCGAAATACTTTCTTTAAGTCAAACCATTACTTACAAGAATAAATATTATCTTATAAAAGAATTTTATATATAAATATCAAATAGTACATATAAAAATAAATATTCCAAAAGATATAAATAATTTTTAAAAATATGAACTTCTGGTATTTTAACGAATATGACAATCATAAGTTACTTGCATCAAACACAAATTCTTTTCCCGATCATTTTTACGACAGCTATTTCGACTTCTCAGAAATATTCTCGATTACAATGCCGACCATGAACGTTCGTTTCGCTTTATTATTGGCAACTAGCCAAATGTTTCTTAGTAACGCGTTTCAACTGCCACCAATATTTCTTCTTCTACAGTGCATACATACTACATGTATGAGTAAAACTCGTATCGATATAAGCTCGCGATTGAGCATCGTCTCAGCTATAATCGCATTCAAGTACATTACATTAAGGTTCAATGCCAGTCCAGATCGCCCAGTGTTTTACTACATTCTAAAACCAGTTTTGCGATAGTCGTAATCATATGGGTGTCACGTATGAAATGTCGCCAGTCTTATTGTGTTATGTCATTTATTAGTATGCCTTCTTCCTATTCTTATTCGAGCGTATGCGAATTGCTTGAAATAATAAAAATTATTCTTGATACGAATAACTCGAGAAAATGGAACTATCTTCTAAACTATGTTCGTTGTAGTCAACACATCTTTATTTTTTTGTATATTTAACATCCTTTCAAGCTGTTTTTATTCGCGAAATATAATGAAATTTCGAAATTTGATCACAACTTGATGAGAATCGCAGAGATCTTTGAGTGAACGGAAAAAGTTCCTCAATATACGGCAACCATCTTGTGATGTGAATTTTAAATTGCTTATTTTCCCAAGGTGAGTAAAAAGGATCGTTGAAAGAAATGTGAAGAAATAATATTAATTAGAACACAGAAATTGGGAAGAATCCGAATTCGAGAGTTTTTCTAGTGCGAGCGACGAAAGATCGATGACTCAGCGGTGAATACTAGTATAGAAAGGGGAGAAGAGTCAAATCAGCCTCTTTTTAGAGAGTTTGTTTTGAAATAATCGCCCATAGACTCGCTCAGCAATGAAGTGCACTTATATACATACGTCAATACAGTCAGAAAAAGAGCTATGCATATGGTACTGAGAAACGCGTTTGAATTAGTACGCGCCACGTGTTTGCCCACGGTCGTCGCACGGTTTACTGCCGGTCCAGCATAAAAAAAAACTAGGATTTAGTTAGGATAATCGCTTCGTATTTTATTGAGTGTGAACAATGCGGTAAGAATATAACAATGCGGCAGATTTAAATGACCGCTCGCTGTTAATCCTTAGTTGAAAAATATAAAAGAAATTCATCCATTTTAACGCGTATTTAACACGAATATCAAACCACTTGTCTCAAAAGTGCTTAGAAAATTATTGGAAATAGTTTAGCTATTTTAATAATCGCCTTTTATGAGAGTCATTTGAGAAACGAATGTACGTATGTATCTATGAATTTACATTACAGCTAGAAAACAATTTGCATACACATATCATGTTATTTATCTTTGTGCAGCTATCGTTATCTTTCCACACTTCTTTTTCCTATCGCATGATTGCTGTAAATAAATCAGAAATTCTTACGGTATTCTGTCAACAATTTACGAGATTTTCTGTTCCTTTAAAAATTTAGCAAAGAAAGCACGAATTCACGTAAACAATTCATAATGTAATGTAATCAATGGCATTAAGAAAGTTGACTTGAAACAAACTATGTTCACCCGATAAGTTCAGTTAGACCATTAGTAGTTAAGTTTGTGGATTTTGTTATGCATGCGTGAATCTATCACATATATAAGAAGAAAATGAAGCCGATCAAATACAAACAAAATAAATAAATAAAAGAAAAAAGAGAATACGATATAAAAAGAATCTCCTCTTTCTCTCGCTTCTCTTTTCCTCTCTCTATTTCTCTCTTCCCTTCATTTGTAGACACTTCAGGTTCAATGAACAATCGACTAAAAACGAGGCAGCTGTCAGTCCATGTGCCGCAGCGTGATATGTAAATGGGACGTAAATTCGTAAGCATGGCGATGGGGTAAGCAGCCCTTTGGAGGGAAACCTTTACGAGTTAAGGCAGACGCTGTACACTATTATTTTTACATCGATGTCACGGATCCGTCCGCATTTTAAGCCAGTCAAATACACTCTATAATGGGTATTCACTTTTAAGTAAAAGACAAATATTCGAATATTATTTGATAAATAACTATTTCGAAATAACATTATTATTATTCGTAAAACAATTTCGCAATAATTGCTATGAAATAATATTTCAATACGAAATATCTATAATAATGATTTTTTTTAATTGTCAAATTATTTAAAACATTGTTATAGATTTCAGAGTTTTCCGTTGATAACTGAAAACAAGAACGAATATCACGAGACGTCCAACGAGTTTACGTCATTAATCGATAATATTAACCAGAGTTTCTACGGAACGGTTATTGTACCCTACTGAAATAAGCACGTAAAAAGTCTCGTAAAGAAAGTAAGTTATACTTCGATTAAAAAGCCAAAACAGAACAAAAAATATATCATTATTGGATCAAAAGAAGATCAATTTATATTGTACAACAAAGAAGCTGTTGAGGAAAACGTCAGAGACCTCATAAAAGGAAATATATGCATATATATATATATATATATATATATATATATATATATATATATATATATATATACCACGAGACCAGCTTATAAGCGGACAACGAAGTGCTCTTACAGTCTGTCTCGAAAGATTGTTTCGCATTAAAGCGTGTTATATTACGACCTTGAGCAAATTCTGTCTCGTCAAAGAAGTTCTTTAAAGCGACAATAGATTGCTGAAAGTGTCAGTGAGATAGTACAAAATATTGAAGACTTTTCTGTTTTTTACGATCCAGATACTTAATACTTACAATAACATTTTTGTGTTAATTTTTATCGTAATACATCATACAAATCGGAAAAATGATGATACTAGAGCAATATCTTGCCTGCCTGACTGCCAAAAAAGAAAAATTCGAGAGACAGGATGGCTTGTTAACGTTGGGTCGGGTTGTGTCTTTTAGATCGTACAGAACTTAAGGTCGCAGTATACGCCAGTTTCTCAGGACTTCTCCCACTTTTCTCCGTTCCTAACCAAGACTTAATCGTTTCTTCCTTAATCTACCTATCGAGCAACTAGAAATTTTCTTCCATTTTTCTTATTTTCTTTCTTTAACCTACTCTTTGTACATCACCTTCGCAAACTTAGCTCACGGCATGACTGTGTCTTGAGCTCTACTCCCCTCTCTTATTTCCCTTTCTTTCCCTCTTTCTCGACCATCATTGCCACTTTCCCCTCTTTCTCTTCCACAATTCAAACCAACTCTCAGGCATAGTACGTCGTACTCGTGTACCCTAAAAGGATAGCGATTATAATAAACATTTTATTTTCTTGATGTTAAGATCATCTACGATGGTATTTGCGATACAAATCGGAGATACAAATTGCGATACAAAGAGATAGTCAGATCGTTTCAATATATCGCAAGATCATTCTTTCAAAAGATTCTTTTCTCAAATTGTTCTATTAAAAATCGATCATTCTTATTAACAAACCACTTGTAACTTTATCGCATCTATTCAATCAAGTCACAAAACAAATAGAAGAATTTAACCTATAATTACATTATCGTTTAAAATTTGTAACCACCATGATAATATATCTGTTATAAATTATTCTTGTTTTAACGATGATTATTAGCGTTATAAGAATATCCCTTTGTAAGAAAGTTGAAAAATCTTACAAGATTGTTTTATAAAAGTTACAATCGTATTATATATAATGTAGTTACATACATTGTAATTACATAGTACAAATTATATAAAACGGCCCAGAAAATTCCGTTTTTATTATCCTTTCCTGTTCGTGCTCAGGTAACCGAGAATTTCCGTTATTGATAGAGACCTTGAGAGTAAATTGTGCAATGGCCGACCGTCGATGCGTTAGTCCATTCACTGGTAGTACATATTTTCACTTTTTACTGTAACGCATTGAAGATGATCACTGCCGTAACGAGAAGTACGCAATACAATTGAATTTCATTTAGAAATGTAGAAAATTTTAAAGAATAATTGTAATACTTCAAACAAAATTATACTTATTTTCTACAAAAGATTTTTTACATTTTTAATAATTATATTAATATATTCTCAAAAAATAACTTTTTTATTATGTAATTTAAATTAATGTTAATGTAATGGAAAATATTAATTTAAAAAATAATAGAAAAGCAAAATGCAGAATAATGTTGCTTATGTTTTTATATGGTTTTTGTCATCGTTCTGAACATTTTCTTTGTTATACAATATAAATTGGTCTCTTCTTGATCCACCAAAGAAATTTTTCTTCGTTTTGGTTTTTTATTAAAAACAATACTTTTAGTTTTATCGTGTACTTATTCCAATCGAATAAAATACAATAATCATCCTGTAGAAACTCTGATTGATATTATCTATTAATGATATATAACTCGCTGCACATTATACATCCCATGACATTCGTTTTGCTTTTCAACTATTAACGTAAAGCTCAGAAATCTATGAAAATGTTTCAAGCCATTTAACAATTACAAAAAACTGACTATTATTTAGCGTCTTGAGTTAACGTTGAAACAATAGGTCCAAATGCATTTACTGCAATTCGCTCATGAATTTCATAGTCGTAATTTCATGATTACGCAGATCCAAATCTTATTTAGCAAGTAAAAATTCATAGAATAAACTCGTTCTTTCGTTTTTTATTTAGGACATTTTAGCTTCCTAACAAACCTACGTACATTATGTTATGATGTTTCACAAACATGAAGTAACAAAAAATGAAGAAACACGTATAAAAAACACAATTGCATACAATGACACTTCAATGGAAAAAATATTCAACGATATAAAAACATACGAAAAAATAAATGAATATCATTATCAAATCCTCATTGTGTTAAACGTATCTATAATATATATACATATATATATATAGAAGCGACTAATCAACTTTGGCAATGTATCAAAAGGCAATTTACTGTAAAGAAACCAAAAATGTCGAATACCTAGTTGTAAATTGAAGGCGTTCGAGACAGCCTCTTCGTTCGACAAGAATCTGCATTAGGCCTAAACAATTTTAGACCGTAGCAATACAAGTTGATAATCCAATTTATTTAACTATTAGAACACGTAGAGTCTCAGGTCTTGAAAGGATTCCATTGAGACGAGTCACACTGCGAGAAACTCACCACTTTTATATTGAGTTTTAGTTGTGTTAAAAATATTCCAGACGTTGATATTTAAGAGTATAGAAACATTTCATAAAATTCTAAATGTAAAAAGTAAAATTTATTAGCGATGTAAAGATGAGAATATTGATCCTCATTGAAACTCATGCGAACACTATATATATATATATATATATATATATACACACAAGTACAGTACATAAATGAACTTTAAAAGCTCTTTTAACATGAAATAAAAGCCTCTTTTGAACATGATATATTATAATACACTGTCTTAAAATATAGTACGTCAGAAATTACGAGATTCAACAATTTCTTTTATCTCGTGGCAACAGAAATAAAGCTACATTATAGAATTAATACGTAATGAATTTATAAACGATAACGAATTAAAAATAAATCATTGTTTTGATCAATGTGCTATTTCTGTATCGTTATAGAGAAGAAGGGGAGTGAATGAGTGAGTAGTGAGAGAGAGGAGAGAGGGGGAGGAGGGAGAGAGAGAAAGAGAGAGAGTACATTTTATCTCGTCGATCGTTTTTAATTCTTCTCCGAAATGAAAAAAAGTATTGCCGTCTTTATAGTTTCATAGAATGATTCTTGGGGCTCGTCCGTCATTCGGAGACCATTACTTGGACTCTTAGATGCACGCATCTACTAAAAGCACGCATGCATACAGATCCATGCACACAAACGCATACTCTTCTATAGGAAGACGAAGAATAAAACCAAAAAGGACAAAAAGTGGAAGACGAGAAAGCCTTGCCGGGGGCGGTCAGTGGCCTCTGCACTGGCTACCATGAGACTCAAAACCGGCATTACCCCACTCCTGCCTGAGAAGCTCCATTGGGAATAATAATGGGAATTATGGTAAATGCCGCCTCTATCAAACTCTACGGGATCGCTCTATTCATCTATCTTATCGATAAGCATATTAATCAATGATAAAAACGATATGATTCTCACGAGACTATTGAAAGACTTAAACTTTCAAGTTTTTCGTATATTCATCCTGAAAAAAGGAATGACAAAGACTAAAAAGAAGTTTTTAAGTTTCGCAGAAACAAACCATGGTTCAAGAAGATATACGATACCCTTAAAAGTAAGTCTTTTTTATCCGCTTATGCACTTATTCGTGCTGAAGTGAAGTTCCACTATGGCTAATCATTGACCAATGAACTTCGAACTAATGAACAATAGTGCCGAAAAATTTACGGAAACGTCGATCTTTCGATTTTTTTTAAACATATATGTATTTGTATAGATATTTCACTAATTTCCTCAGTTAATGGCAAAAATTATTGAAACAAAAACGATTATAATTCCGAACAAAAATTGAAAAGCGCATCTTTATGATTTTTTTTTAAGTTATTTTTGCATTCCAGATCTATCCTCTTAAAGTAGGTCATACGTCATGTTGAAATCTATCTTGAATGCATATCAAAGATGTGCGTGTCCTACCAGAATTATAAAAAAAAGATTGGAAGGATGCGGCCAATGTTATTAAATGTCACGAAGAGAGGAAGACGGTGATAACAAAGAGCGTAAAGTTGAGAAATAAAAGGCGTGGATGAGAGAGATCGGAGAAGTACGGAGGGTGAGAGCATCCGGTCTTGTGTAGGAACATTCAGACACGTACATACCTATTTCGGCTTCAGCTATAAGAGCAGCAGCACAAGATTGCTACCGTTTAAGATAAAAGAATGAAAGACAGAGGAATAAGACAGTGATAAAGAAAAAGAAAGAAGAGAGACAGCACCGATGATATTTTTCGAGTAGGCCGGAATTATTAGCGTTGCAACGCTTCTCTCTCTCTCTCTCTCTCTCTCTCTCTCTCTCTCTCTCTCTCTCTCTCTCTCTCTCTCTCTCTCTCTCGCATGCTTATCATAAGATTGCATTTTAAAATTGACTCGATTTTTTTCTTTCTTTCGACTATACCTATATCATGCGATATATATCATTATGATAAAACAAAAATAACTGTTTGTATGTTACTTTCATGGTAGCATCATGGATGATAATTGGTGAGAAGATACGAAAGGTGTATTGTGTTGATGGAATTAGGAGAAGATATTTACAGTACCGTAAAGAAAAACTACAGCGAATTATTTTTCATACAGGAAAACAATCGCTAGTTGAACATTATATTGGCGATCCTCGGTAGCATCTCGTCTGACAGGAAGCAGAAGAGAATTCTCGTGTTTCCAGGTCGATGCGGTCGCCATGATGTATCTGCAGGCTGACGCACGTAAAAAGGGCGTAGGTACGAAGAGGTTCGGGTAAGGCTGCACTGTGTAAAAGGTAGATGCCGGTAGTATGGGTGTATATAATGCCAGGAAAGGTATCTATCACTGACGTCAGCTCAACCAAGGCATAATAGAAGACAAGGGTCTTTGCCTGGTCCTCGAGCAAGCAGGTTCCCCTCTTCATATACTGCCCTCCGTTCTTCTTCTCTTCCTCCTCCTTCACTACCATTTTCTATAGCATTCTTCTCGTTTTACCAGCTATCTACCACTTTCCTATGCTGCCGTCGTCTTGTGGCTTCGCTCGATGATGCCACAGAACGTCATATTTAATCTAGACTTACATAGACAACACGCAAGACTCAGTCACCAATTTTGTCGAAATTTTATAAGATTTATAGTATTGCTATAGAATTAACAAATGCTATTCAGAAATGATGCATTACTCAACTGTTGAAAAAAAAATCGCTATTTGAATTTTACCACAATGTTTTAGTATCACGGCAGTAAATCATCTATCAAATGTATTATTAAAATTAATATCCCTTGAAATATTTATTTTTAGGTTTTTCTAATGTTTTTTCTTCTGAATAACACTAATACTTAGAGAATGATATATTGCCGAGATACTAAAGCAGTATGGTAAAATTTAAACTGATTTCTCTTCAACCATAGAGTACTGAATCGTCTCCAAATAGCATTTATTATTTCTATACCAATACTATATTCCTACGAAATTTTAGTAAAATCGGTGATGAGTCTTATGTGTTATCCATGTTAGATCAAAACAGAGTATTAATCTTAACTTGTATTTTGATCTAAGTAGTATTCTGGATCGTACTTCGTAAACATTGTTTAATAATAGAATACTAACTCTAGTAAGATGTTAATAGAGATATGCAAATCGCAGAAAATTCAAATACAAATCGAGTAAAAAATTTGTTATTATTATTATTATCTTAAATAAGTTATGAAATGAGTAATGGTTTTAAACTATTACAACATCCATTTTATGATTATTACCGTCCTTCGTTGAACAATTTCCTTATGCAGCACATACCGAGAAAATAGTGATTATTTAAAAAATGAAAATGAACCATCTACTAATCTAATACGCAAATTGATACTCCTTCACTTTTCCTTTCGCTTTCTTTTTACGACTGCACGATCATTAAATTGTGAACAGATGCTTACGCACTCACGTTATATTTACCGATTTACTTTTATTATCCAACGCATTCTCTTATACTCTGAAAAATATTAGATTGTACATCAACCTGAAAAATATAGGAATTTTTTACTTCCTGCAATACAACTCTCATTAAACATGATCGATACATTTAACGATCAGAAATTATAGCAAAAATCACAAAACAAATATCTATGATTAAAACCATTGAAATTACATGATCGATAAAAATCTCTATTTTTTACGCAAGTAATCGCACCCTATCGAACATGCATTCGCTCGTTGTACTTTTTGTATTCACATATGTATTTACGTATACACAAAACTTCAACGTATTATATGATACACATACGGTCTGTCCCAATATATTGACGAACAATATCAGAAACAACAAAACCTCAATGTTCTGATGCAAGATCGCCTGTTGCAAGAATTCTCAAGCAATTACTCCTTCTTAATGACGAGCATTGTTAGTTTATTACTCGTATAAACGTTGGAAAAGATAAAACGTTGGAAAAGATAAAACACTACTGATAAAGAGATAACCCTTAAAAGCGTCCGACATGAAGGGTTAACCCTTTTCCTTCCAGTATTATTTGCCTTTTGCTTCAAACTTAACGCTTAAACAAATCTAGTAACAAAACCACGAAACTATCAACTTTAGACACCATATTGTACGAGTGACTAACTAATTTCAGTAGTTAATATTTACAACGATTGTAACGAATATGTCAAAAAGTTTGCTCCACTAATTTTCACATTGAACCACAAAATTTGAATAAGTTTATGGTTTCTTGTACTTTATTCTCCATGGATTATGAAATATGGAGAATGCATAATGAAAAGAAAAAGATAACAGACCCTCCGCATGATTAAAAGAGATTTATCGAAATTAGGTCATAAATCCATGAGAAACATCGATAACTACTACGATAATATCGAGACAAATCGAGAATAACAAACGCACACTTGTTTCTGTGGTTCTCTCCAATCGTAGATGTATTATCTCGTCGGTTGCTGAATTTCTCTCGCCACGAGGCTAAATTTCCATCGGCACGTGCTCTAGTATCCTTTGTAATCGAGACAAGAGGTCAACGATTTAACTTCGTTCATACAATTGGCCGGATTAACATCGGTAATAAATCTCAATTAGGATGACTCCCACGTAATGACACTCGACATATATTAGAAGGAGATTTTCTCAGATTTTTTGCTTCCATGTTGATGAATTATGATATTATAAGGATGAAAACGCTATATTCTCATGTAAATTATCTAGTCTTCGTTCCAAGTGCAAACAGGTAAAATCTAGATAATCAATGTTAAATGTCACGATATTAAAGAAAAAGGAATTTTAAGTGAGTTGATTTCCAATCTAAAAGAAATCGACGTATTTTTCCTTTGTTTCCGAAACTACGAAACGCATTTACGTAAAGTTAGCTTTGAGGCCAGAGAAAGACAATTTGCAGTTGGATAATTCTTTTCATCTAGCTTTTAAATTAATATGAATTTAATATAACTCCGATCAAGAAGTAAACACATATATGTATACATATATAGTTACATATAAAGTTACGTTTCATTGTACATATGTATATCTTTTAGACAGGGCTCGTCTTTATCAGAGATACAAAAACATTTTATAGCATTTTGACGTATGAGAGACATATACACACACGCGTGCGTGTGTTACGTACTTATATATCCTGCTCTCATGCCATTCACATGACGCAGCATGCCGTATACCGTTGGCACGCAGCAACGATACTAATTACTATCGACTGATTTTACCGAATACCGGATATCTAGCAATGATTGATGTAAAAATGGAAAACGAATTCGAAAGAACGTTTATCTGAATAAAGAAGTTGATTATGCCATTTGAATGATACCTGACATCCTATCAATATTCGATTAAATGATAGTTCGATTAATAATTTTTTAATAAATTTCAAACTAGAATTATCTTGAATCATAGTTATTTGAAGCTTCGTATACCGTTGAAAATATTAGTATCTTTGCTTGTTATTAAGTAATATTTGGGAAATGAAAAGTACGGTGTAAAAATTGGGTAAATTCGAAAAAAGAAGCAACCATTAAAAGGCGCGAAAACTCACCAGTGGCGCAGGCGCTGCTCATGATCCATGCGATACAGACAGTGGTAAAGAGAAATTTTCGTATCCTCGCGTTTCTCTCCGAATCGGATCTCTCATCCGACGGATATACCGACAATGTACTTATCCACGGTACCTTCATTCTTATATTTGAACTATCCGAGAAATTATTGGCGATGACGGCGTTCACTCGCACCGTACGTCGCACCGAGCTTCTCTTGCCTCGTTTCGATGCTTGGACGTCTTAAATTTTATCGTCGAACTCGTAGAAATTCACGCGACAGCTACCGAAGTCACGCCTATGTTTACGCGCTTTTCCTCTGCGTTCTCTCGCATCTTCAAATTTGCATTGTCACCTATTTAACACTAACGAGAGTCTTTATTTTTTTCCTAGAAACGCTCGGGTATAGAAAGAAGTATATTATGTATACACCTGTTAACAAGTAGCATTCCTTTCGCTCTTAGTAAAATACGCGTCGATGCTATGTGCCTCGATAAAGAAGCGTCACTTTATTCACTCTCGACTTCTTGTTTGCGAAACCCTTGGTTCCACTTAATAATTTGACTTTTTTGATTAAGCGAGATCGTCGCCTGCATTTTTGAGATTTCCCGTTGATCTCCGGTTCTATCGGGTTGTCAGGCGTGCCTCCGTACGTTCTTCCATCTTCGTCTTCGAAAAAGCAAACACGTGAATCCTCACAAATGTAAACTGCCCAACCTGAGTGGTTCGTACAATTGAGAAACCGTTTACTTTTATTATACGTTTGCCTATTATTTTTAAAAATAATTCAAATTTATCGTATATACGAAGATATTTTTCTAAAATCTTTTCTATTAATATTCCGTTGAAATCGTTAACGTTTTCAAACACTTGCACAATTTTCATAAAAAAATAATACTTTTCGATAAGCTTTCGATCGGTTGTAAAAATTCTTCTCTTCGTTATTTCATACACAATTCCTTGTAGATGTTTTTTCGCAAGGGTGCCAGGTAGTACAGCCCTAATAGTCACATTCACCTGGTAACACCTGGCAACGTCGTCTTTTACTTTGGACACATTTCTTAACGATTTTAATGAACACAAGTATCTCTGTAAGAGCATGAAAAAAACAAAACCAAAGCGACTTCGTTTTTCGATAAAAATGTACACACAGAGATCGGAATGGTGCAAGAGTAGCATTCGAATTATAAAGTTTTGTTGACTATCCGGTGACGGCTCTGTTCACGCGCAGAAGTGCAAAGTTGAAATCATGATCACGCGCAGCATCGCTATACCTATACTGTACCAGCGGTGTACATATGTACCGACAACTACATTCCACTAATAGCTTGCCGGAGTATAATAATGCATTTCGAATGCGTTCAGCTAACATACCTGTGAAGCCATCTAGCGTTTCGCGTTAACAATTACAATGAAAAACGAAATTTGGACTACCTTCACAGTATACAGTTAATCGCAAAGTGAATGTTTGCCTTTCATGACCAATCAACATTCAGAATTACTTATACTGTTGATTCTAGTGGAAACCTATAAGAACCAATAGCAATTTATCTTTGAATTATATTTAAAATAGTATAATCACTGCCATATTTAATTTAGTTTATCACGTGTAAATTATCTTCCTTGTAATTATCAAATGTACACATAAAAATAATCGTTTAAATTTCACGTATTATTAGAAAACATTTACAATAGTAATGTATACATATAAATATTATACATGCGTACATAACAATACAATTCTTCTTGCGTAATTTATTCTTACGCGAGGTCAATACTTAATTTTTCACTAAATATTAAACAATCAGAAAGCATAATGAATATATGCATGTACATAGGACAAATTACATTTTACAATTTTCATCAAAAAAAGAAATGAAATATGTTAAAAATAAAATATATCCATAAAAAAATATGAAGTATTTTATATTTCTAATAAGATATCCTATGAATGTTTATTGACGGTCTTTTTATTAAAAGACAGGATAAAAACTCTAGATCAGTGCAATATATCCAATGATGATATTCTATTCTTCGGGAAGACCTTTTCATATAAAAAATATCAATGCCGTAGTAATAAGATCTAAAAGTATGTTCTTATAATAAAAAAAAACGTAAAAACAAATTTAGAATCTTTTTATCAAGATAATTTTTAATTTGCTAATTTACTAGATATTTTTTTCTGTTTTTGACGAAAATCTTAGCAAAATTTTTTCAAATAACATATATATAATATCCTTTTATTGCAAAAAAAATATCGTATGTACCAGTGGACAGCCTATTTTTTCTATGTATACGATACTGAGAAAACTGCGCGCTATATATTCTGTACGACTTTACGATGTGCGTATAGCTACTGCGCATAGATTGGACACACGTAATCCATTGAAACCGACACAGTAACATTATCATTTTTCATTATCATCGCGTAACATTCCGTTGTCGAAACAGTTCGCAGTTGTTCGACAATCGTGATTCAGCATTATAAAAAAACATCTTTGCTTTAAAGCGAAATATATATAACGTGGTCATTTTTGCCTTATTAACTTAATAAAATAACTGCAAATATGCCGGTTAAAGCCGTTTGTGTACTACAAGGCGAATCCATTAAGGGTACTTTATATTTCGAACAAACTAATGAATCTCAACCGGTACAAGTAACCGGAGAAGTTTCTGGACTTAAAAAAGGATTGCACGGATTTCACGTACACGAATTTGGAGATAATACTAACGGCTGTACAAGTGCTGGTGCTCACTTCAATCCTCATGGAAAAGAACATGGTGGTCCATATGATGCTGTACGTCATGTTGGAGATTTGGGAAATATTGAAGCTGGAGATAATGGTGTTGCTAAAATCAACTTAACTGATAAGATTATACAACTTCAAGGAGAACATAACATAATTGGTAGAACCCTTGTTGTTCACGCTGATCCTGATGACCTTGGTAAAGGTGGTCATGAATTGTCGAAGACAACAGGAAATGCAGGAGGTCGTCTCGCGTGTGGTGTAATCGGAATTACAAAATCTGGTTAAATATATCATATTACAAATATGTGGTACAATTATATGTATGGCTTCAAAGATTTAAACAGCTAAATATATCAATATACTCTCATAACTATATCTAAAATCTTTATCCAATTGCCATGAAATTCTTAATAAAAAAAAAGAAACGATTACTGATAATAGGGAATTTATTAAATATTATTCAAAAGATAGTAATCAGCATTAATGTTGTAAAGACATTTTATTTACTTAAATAAACAAAAATTAAAAGAAAAATCCAAGAATTTTTCCCCCTAAATGTTTCCTCCTAGCTTCTTCATGATCCATAATGCCGCCACTGGTTGTTAATACGACATATCTATAAAATATAAAATTTGTTTTATTATAGATAACAACTAATGCCAAGTTTTTATTGTCATTTATAAATGAAAGAAAGTAAAAACTTATATTTACTTACCCAAACTGTCTAGATGGTAAAAGATTATTAGTCCATTTTTCTATGTCATTGATTGGTACATCGAATCTTGGGGATATAACTCCACATTTATTTAATCTTCCAGTAAGATTTACAACAACCTTACCACTACGATGATCATCGACAATTTCAAATTCACCAATGTATCCTATGAAATAATATTAGAATCAACAAATACTTGCATATTCATCATCTTAGAAGTAAATCACAATAATTTTGATATATTTTACTCACCATGTTTCATCATTACTCCCAAAAATTTAACAATTACTTTAGAACATGGACGTAGTAATACTTGTCTTTTACCACGCTTTTCTGCATTGTTAATTGATTTTAAAGCATCGCTAAGAACATTCATTCGTACCATGGCTGTCAATATAAAAATATAAACTATTATTATGAGACACAATCCATTATATTAATAGTATATCCATTATATAAATAGTATAAAAGTAATATTTATTCTTATATATTTAATTTAGAAAAGTATAGTGTGTATGTAAAGTACAATTATTTTCTCATCAAAATCTGTGTTTTGAAATGTATTTATGACTTAGTTTCACATAACCTACAATCCATCAATACAGGCATACTTTACTAAATATTATTAAATACAAAAAAGAACATAGCATTTAAATATAAATTATATATAAAATATATATATATATATTTATATAATATACACATTACATTATGTTGTGGCATATTTTATATAGATATAAGTAACTTAAAAATATATGTTAAGTATCCTTTTACTGGCACTAGTCACTTTACACATTAGTGTCATGTGAATACTATATACAAAATAAAATAATCCCACATAAATTAAAAAATTACGTATTACGATAAATTTACCGATTATTTTTAGTGGATGTATTTCAGAATAAGAGATTACCTGCGATTTATAATTTGTTTATCACAACAACATACACGCTTGCTGTCGAAGGAAAAAGAGAGCTTGCGAATCTACAGGACAGCCTTACTAACGATATACTTTCCCCCAGTATCTAGTATACTATTCCTACTAGTATATTATTCCTTCAATATCTAGTAATTTTATTTTACTTTTTATTTTCCAATTGATAAAACCAATACAATTATAAACAGTTACATTTATTTATATTTAACATTAAATTTTTATAATTGAATTCTTATAATTGTCAAAATTCTCTGTATTAATAGAAAAAAAACTATATATTTATATTCTCAACTATATATATCATTTCTTCAATTTGTTATTAATGAGGCGGGGAAAAAGAAAGAAAAACTAAATAACATCAAAAATATTTAAGAAATATTAGTACATTTAAAAATAATGAAACATATATAATTATTCTTTAACCAATTCAAAGATTGATATATCATATCAACCAATCACAATATAGTATTTTGTCAGAGTTTACATGGAAATCTTGAAGAACTGCAACATTTCTTTGAATCCAATCACTTATCGTTATTAATTCTAGAATACGTGATAAGAAAATATATCTGTCGGTAAAGTAGGGGAATATCACGATCGAAATATTGAAGATTGCCGAACGATTCTATGACGAACAAACTACGGTTAACTGGATGAGTGGTGATTGAGTGCTTCTCTCAGCTTCTTTCCTTCCGCAATTGTGGATTTGTCTCAGTTTTTGACGATAACTGATATTAAAGCATTATACGTTACTTGATACGATAAATTTGCGAATCGACAACGATACATAGTTCATAACAATAGTGCACGTTAAAGAGCTGCCTGATATTTTCGTCATGCTGTCAGAATTGGCGAAGGAGACAGAATTGACGGGAGATTCTTGTTGATATGGAGGTTGCCGAGAATTTACTGGTCTGTGTTTTGTCTTTTCTTGGAAGGTTTCTCGGAAGTTTTCACATCAAAAGGTCATCGGAAAGCGTGAATTGCATCACGAGAATTCACGGTGCTATTGGTACCGTAAAATTATAAGGAACGGAGTTGTCTTTCAATCGTTCAACTGCACCTTGTGTACTTTAGTGACCCTTGAATGCCAACACAACGCATTTAATTATTTTATCTTGCTTTGTCAAGAAATATTAATTGCAAAATGGCATCAACTTCCAGTGCTTCGGCACAGGTGTTGATGAATAAAGGAAAACGTGGTGCTGCTGCATATATTCATGCAGAATGTAGCAATCCGACCATTGATGCAGCAGGTCCACCACATTTAAATGAACTCTTGGATATTCTTTTGAATCCCAGTAAACCTATTGATGACTGGGAAACTATCGATTGGTGTAAATGGCTAATGGCAGGTGGCCGTACACCAGATGAATATGCAAATACAGGTCAGAGGGTCGCTTATTTATATTACTAATTTTGTGCTTTAAATATATCATTATAAGCATATGTTGAATATGTTAAGTAAATGTTATAATATTAATTGAATGGAATTAAGTATATTTATGAAATATTCTGTTGTATTGAAGCGATTTTATGATGTTGTATAATGTATATGTAAGATATAAATATAAATTTAGTATATAGAGAAAAAAGATATATTATTAATTTTCACATATTACTCGTATAAAATATATATAATTGAATAATTAAAAAAAAAATAGTAGTACTTTATAATTCATATGCCACTTCATTTTATTAATTTGTTATAAATTTGCTGAAAGTTGTGTATTTGGCATCTGTAGAATCTTTTTATCTACAATGTTACAATCGGTATATAAATGAATTGTGACAATTAGTATGTATATATATGAATATCCAATTTGAAGTATTATTTACCTATTTAGAATTTTAATTCTTAATTTATATTATTTTATTATTTATATTATTTTATATACTGTATGAGTACATAAATATACTTTTTAATCTATTCTAAAGTTAAGCTTTGATGTTAATTTTTCAATAGTAATGTTATTATTTGTACTAACAGTAACGTTGAAGTTTTTAATGTTTTAAATTTTAAGTAATATATCAGAATTTTATATCGCATTAAACAATTTCTTAAGTATATACAGGATATCCCTGAATAAATGAAAAATATTTTAGAGGTGACTTAAATACATCTAAATAATAAAAAAGTTTATAGAAACATATATCCTATTTGATTTTATTTTTGAGTTATAGTGAATTTGATTTTCAAGAAACTTTATCTGCTTACTTTTATAAAAGATGTTTGAAATTACCTCTTTGCATCTAGCCTATAGATGCAAAGCCTATAGATGCAAAGCCTATAGACATTTTATTAATGAATATCTTATTTTCTCTATATATCCAGATATTTGAATTTTTGACATGGAAATTTTTTTAATTCTTTCTCACAGTCTTAACATTGTCAATGGGCATTCTGCACACAATCAATTATAAATAACCCCACAAGTAAAAACAAAGTCAAATAGGACATATGTTTTAATATGTTGAAGCTATCCTTAAAATATTTCCCACTTATTCTGAGATATTTTATATATGTACGTATACATTATACTTTGAGATATTGAAATTCATAAGTATCATTATATTTCAGTACGAACTTATGATAATGCTACTACATGTGGATTAGTGTGGACTCCTAATTTTGTTGCATATCGTTGTCGTACTTGTGGAATATCACCTTGTATGTCTCTTTGTACTGAGTGCTTCAAGAAAGGGAATCATCATCGTCATGATTTTAACATGTTTCTTAGTCAAGCTGGTGGTGCTTGCGATTGTGGTGATGCATCTGTTATGAAAGAGACTGGGTATGTTATTATCAAGATTAAAAATTTATGAATTGAACTGTTCTAAAACTTGAACTCTTGAACTGTTACTAAGCTATTTGATATATTTTAAAGTAGTAAGTAATTGTTATAAATGTTTACAAATTGAAAATTTTTTGAATATAAATAATAATGTGATTCTTATTTACAGTTTCTGTGATAAGCATGGACCAAAAGCTGCTGTTAATAAATCTGCTGCACCTTCAGATTTAATGTGTGTTGCAGAAGCAATGATGCCCAAAATTATTTTGCGTCTTATTCAACATTTAAGAGAAAATTGGTAAGTCAATATTTTTCTAAATATTTTGTTAAATAAATAATTACAATATTATGAATTACATTTTTGATTTTAGTAAAGTCGGATTACCTAGTATACGAGAATATACAGATTATAGAGTTGCTATACAAGATGCAGATGTTTATTTAACTATGCTTCTTGATTTGAACAATATGGGTGCACTAATGAGGCATGTTATGACAACAGCACTCACTAATCCACAAAAGTATAGAGGTCTTATGGATCCTTCTATCTCTACTGGTCAATCAGAGTATGATAACTATTGTCAAGATAGCAACAAAATATATCAAGATGCTGTGAAATCTTTGCCAAATCCAGAACCACCTGATGAATACAAAGGTATATTATAAAAATTTTTGATAAATAATGTACGCAGTTTTATTATTATTATTAAGTATTGATGTACTAAAATGTCAATTTTTTTAATTTGCAGAATGTGCATCTTTACAAGAACATTTAGAACATACAACCTTTTTGGAAGAATTAATGTTTTGGACTGTTGCCTATGAATTTCCACAAAAATTAGTATGCTTATTATTAAATATGTTACCTGAACCTGATTATAAAGAAGCTTTAACTCGTGCTTTTGTTCTGCACTATAGCAGAATTTCTATGATGTTAGAACGTTCTGCAGACCCAGATACTCTTAGCAATAGGGTTGTGCATGTTAGCGTACAGGTAATTATTATTAATTCTGATATTTTTTTATGGTTCTTTTCAATTCAATTAATTTATAACTGAACTGGTTCCTTTTTATTTTAGTTATTTAGTAATGAAGGTCTTGCATTGAGGATGGTTGACCAATTGAAATTATTACATGTAATGGTTATTTCTTTGAAATATATGATGAGTAAAATATTAATCCAAAATACATTACATGGTATGTATTTTATATAAATATGAAATTATTTATATAGTTTATTTATCCATATATGTTATGTTGTAAAATATCACATTATTAAATTAAATTAATTTATTTTGATTATTCATATTGCTTGTTTATATTGTAGATCCAGATAAAAATTTTCATTATGTTGTTGATTGTGCACGCCAAGTAATGAAAGAACATTGCTACTGGCCTCTTGTATCAGATTTAAATAATGTTCTTTCTCACAAACCTGTTGCTGTAAGATTTATGAGTGATGATACACTTTTGGAAATGTGGTTTGATTTCCTTTCTATGTTTCAAGGTATTAATAATATATTCAATTATCTATTACAACAGAATTTTTGTTTTTATGAACTAATTTATTCTAATCTCTTTTTCGTAAAGTAAGATTCACATTTTCTATGCAATGTAATAAACAAATTTTTTCTTAACAATTTATTGAAATTATTGAAAACCTTGATAATGTTACATAAAAGATAGATTCTTTGATATTATATTATTTAAAAGAGATTTTTGAAGCAGGGACAATCTGTATTCTGTTCAATGTACTTATATTATAAAAAAATTGTTTTATTTAATAAGAGTAATTATATTATGTATATTGTAGGAATGAACGTTAATCAGAGAGAATTAAGTCAACATGTTGAATTTGAACCCAACACATATTATGCAGCATTCAGTGCTGAATTAGAAGCTAGTGCTTATCCAATGTGGGCATTAGTTTCACATCTGCGTGGACCTGAAAGTGCAACTCTTAGTAGAAGAGTTCTTACATTTTGTCTCATAGCTTTGCAAGATTGGTTAGATGGAGTGAATTATACTCATCCTAACGTGGTAATGATACTTTTAAATTATTTTTTAAATTGATAAATGTTTATTGTCTCACGGATGATTGTTTTGCGAAACATTAATTTTTTCGCTACTATAATGACTATAATCGCTATTTACGTATTGGGCGACTAAAGTTGCTCCACATATAATATAATTACTAAAATAGTAAATATGCATTTCTTGATGTATTAATATTTTAACTATAATATATTATTTGTCGTCTTGTTCTTTTATTTTTATTACTATAATTTTAATTTTTATTATCAAAAAAACTTTTCAAGGCATAAAAAGCAAATTCGATTCGCTAGAGACTATCCGCGAGTAAATTGTATACTTATGGCATGCAATCCTGTTCAACAGTGGCGTTTTGGCAGCTAGTTCTGCCGTAACGAAACAGTTAAATTTAACATATGATCCAATTTGATTGGTCTGGATACATTTTTACATTTAAATTGAATTAGATAATGAAATAGCATTGCAAGTATTATTAAATGTAATTATTTTACATAACAGACTAGATAATTGTTTTTAAGTTTAAAATATTAAGTATACTTCATTTTTTGTTTCAGAGTGATAGTCTACAAGTATCATTTCATCTTCCCCTTCATAGATACTTCGCAGTATTTATGTGTCAAGCAGTTAGGCAGCAAGGTGTAACACTTCAAGATTTGTTACCACCCACTGACATGCTTCATCTTCTTATGATGCATCCACTGCGAGTTCAGGTAAGTTTTAATTATTCATATAAAATATGCTTATAAAAGTACTCAATAAAATGAAGAGATTAACTTTATGAAGGTAAGGTTAAAGATATATGTATAAAAAAATATAGAATTAAAAAATAGTATGTCTATTTTACAAAATCAACATGCGTTATAAATAACACATAGTATTTTGTACATGAGTAAACATTGCATAATTTATACTTAAATTATTAAAAAAGAAAAAATTTATAAAACCAACATACACAATATTACTGTTCTTGTTCTTCTTATTATTATTTATACTATTATTTATTCTGTTTATATTTTTTAAAAAGTTGTATACGTACAAAATTAATAGTTTTAAAACAAATTTTTTGAAATAAGGATAAGATAATTCTATTTATATGAATTGGTATTATAAAAGAAAAATAACACTATCATTAAACTACATTTACGATTATTCTAGAGTAATATTAATTATTTAAAAAAATTTTAATACAAATTAGTTGAGTACTGCTGTTATTTCATTATATGTTTCAATAACGGGTGGTGAAGGTGGCAGGTCAGTATGTAGATGTGGAGCAAAATTATACGTTATTAATTTTAAAGCAAGAAATCCTCCAGAGCCTGACCTACCCTTATGAAAAATCCCAGCACCTGCTATAGGTATTGATGGGTTTGGCTCCACTGGTTGAATGTCTAAAAATGGTATAGTACTCTGTGCAGCATCTTTTTCGCGATCACTAGGAGCGAAGTTTAGATATTGATTTACATCCGAATCAGAGACATGTTGTAACTCTGAATGAATTGGAATATCTGGATTCTTGAGTTTTAATTCCCTCCTAGAATAGCTGAGATATAAATAGATATTCTTTGCAATAAATAGTATCTAGAAAATCTAATTTACCTTTCAGTAATGTCATTACTTATCCAATAACTTTTCTGTAATGGTTGTATCAATTTGCCTGTTGTGAAATTGAATGGAGTTACCATTATCTCCAAGTTTAAGCGAGTACCAATCATACGTAGTTTTATGCCTAAAAATGTTTAATAAAATAAAATTATTAAAGATAGAAATATATAGCAGGTGATAAAAGACACTTAAATTTAATATAAAATACCCGTTAAAAGATGATTTTCAGGAGATTTTAAATCATCCATATCGATTGCTCGTTTTTCCCAGACTATAGTATGATAATCAATCCCATTCTTAACATCAGAATCATAAACAGTATATGTATCTATTGGCTTCCATGTAACAGTAGTTGAATTTATATCTCCACGTGAAAGCAGTTCTCCTTCTTGAATTTGAATATGTATTATTTGGTTTAATTTAGTTAATTTGATTCCTGTTATTACTCTACAAATTTAAATATAATCAATTTATGAATTTGTATATAGAGTATTTATACAAGAATAAGGAATGACATTACCTGTTATTTTTAATATCTGCCATAACTGGCCGTAAATTAAAATATCGATCTGACCTTGAATTATGATCATCACAATAACAAAAACAATAACTGCAATGCCAAAATAGCCAACGCCACCAGCTATCAATTTTAGTAAGAGATTTTTGACAAGTCTGTTTTTGTCCATATATTTTACCATTTTCATATTCTATGTACTCATATCGTCTTGAACTAGCTTTCTACTTAATCACAGAAAAAAAAAAAGAAATCGTATGTATTCGATAAATAGTTTGAAGAAAAGTAACAAATGCACATACCGAAGGACAAATCCACATATCAGAGTCAATGTATTCACAATTTACAAGTTTACCACCACATGTTCGTTGTTGTGCACAGAATTGATTGTCATAACATCCATGAACTTTTGCATATCCATAGTAAGCACAGTTTTCTCTACATGTAGATTCACTATTCATATCAACTTCATTAACAATATATCCTTGAAATAATTGTTTTAGCTCCATATATGTCTTGTCTAGAGAGAAAAAAAACGTATATTTAATAATTTATTTACCAGTTTAAAACAGTGTTGTTATAATTTTTATTAAAATAATATAATTATTGGATGTACCCGACTCATGTTTAGTTGGATCACATCTCCAAAATTCCTGAGGAGCAAAAGCCATTGCAGTTTTTACTGCCCTTAATACTTCCGATGTTCTTTCAGCATATTGTTGCTTTAATAATTCCAATTCTTCATTAAAATTTGAACCTAAAGTATAATGAGTTGAAATATATATTTTAAATCAAATAAGTAGTAAATGTTTTAAATAACTCATATTTTTATGAAAGAAAGATATACCATTGATATATAATCGTAACAACATATAAGAAAATTGCATCATTGTATATCCTTTAATTTCTGTAAGTGCAATAGCATTGTACAAATTGAATAGTAATTGTTGTGGAGATTGTCGTTCACTACAGATTTGAGATGAAGCTTCCTGCATATATACAGAAAGAAAGATTCATATCACCAAAAATAGCTTATAATAATACGTTCTTCATAATTTAAAGTTTTAGTATTATTATATACATATAAATAGTTCATATAGGAATGCCTTTATAAAACGTTTCCTAACATCAGTTGCATTAAACACACTACCTGATAAGCTGAAATGAATAATTTTTGGTTCACAATATAGTCAGCTATACGCTGTAGTGCTTTAGGTATTGATGCATTTGGTTCGTTTAAAATAATGTTTGCAAAATTTGTTAGTCGTTTCATATTAACTGTTATATTTAGATCCACAACTTCATGTTGCATCTCTCTAAATATCATGTACAATTCATTTATGCCTGTTGTTTCTTGTTGTGTTCTTGCCCAAATCCATAATGAATTTAAAGAATTTAAATGAATCTGACGATTATTTGGAAATAACTGTTCAATGTAATTACAAAAGTTTTTATAAAATTTTATAATATATAAATATACATCATAATCTTTAGTTAAAGTCCATTTAGGATTATCCAATTCCTTTTTCAATGTTACTTCAAGCTCAAGCAATTCATGTCTTAACTCGTCAATCAAAGAGATGTCATTTTTACTGTCACTTTTTATTGTCCATATTCCGATCAAAAAAAGCGAGCACATCAATAACTTTAACAGAATCATTTTTTCCTCTTTCTCGTAGCTTCTTTGGTTTTACAACAGACCACAATTCACAATGATTTTTTAATAATACTGACTAAACTCTTACATAAAAATTTTCAATTAGAGGTCTCGAAAGCGCGGAAGACTTCCAAGGTTCAAATACTGTTGTTAGTATTACATACCCCAGATGGAAAATAAAGGTCACTACGTGATAGTTATACATCGGCGATCATTTGTCGATCTTTCATGGTAGTTAAAATCGATAAAATCTAACTACTTCCTGTTTAACAATGTTCATATAAAATAAGAATATATATTCAAATTTCTTTCCGTGACGTTTACTTCTTCTACTGTAAAATTAAAGCAGTCATATAATTACGGAATTATGCGCAATAAAAAATTTGAAAAGAGTTCTTAATTCTCAAGCTAAATGTGCAAAATAAAGAAAGAATCCTTATAGAGACACGTGATAAATCTTTCGAGTATACACATATTTAAATAACTGTTATTAGATTGTTAGGACATTCAAAGTCGATCGTTGTCAAAAATTAAATATTTTAACAAATATTAAATCTTATACTGATATTATTATGTTCAAATATTTAGTAACACATCTGTTAATTTCATAATCATTAATCATAATTAATAGAACTTTAAATAATCAACGAAGATATCTTATGTTTATTCGAATTGTAAGATTCATTTATACGAAAGATGCGAATTATATAATTACGATCGCATTTTTGTCTACAATATGTACGATTTCGTAAGCGATATTTTAATAGTTAAATTTAATAGTTTAATTTAAAGCAAAATAATCATATTAACATACATTTCAAGTATGAGTAACAAGGAATTTAGTTATTTTCTACAACATTCAACTTAAAATAACAGGTAAAATATTATACAAGTATTGTCACTCTACTAAAGAGATAAAGACTTTACTCATGTTTCACGACTTATGAATGCATAAACGTTTATAAAACACAAGAAATGAGAGAATGTTAGCATTCTTTGCGCTTTATCATATAGTTTTCTTTTTATTTTTATTATATAAAGGAAGAAATATGTTGACTTTCACGATTGTTATATCTCACATTTATTTTTTATTTTTTTAAAGCTGAAATTTCACGAGGAATCTTGAAAAAGAAAAAATGAAACGGTTTATCAATTACTTTACAAGCATACTTGCTTTTTAAAAGTCTTATTTAATTGCACATTAAACTTATTTGCGATATTTACGTATTCTAGTATTTTTAATTTTTCTAGAAAATGACTGATAATATGTGTAAATACTTCTTCACGAAAGATTCACGAACACTCCTTTCAAATATTTTAAACTCGACTGGAAGATTTCTTTTTACTTCTCATCGTTTCACTCTACCCCTACTTCTCGAGTAAGTAATGTTGTGTCCTGCGCATGTCCCTCATACCGTTCTCATTCTTTCTCTTTCTACTTCGTTAACTACGTTGCATGGATACAGTTTGAATCAAAAATTGTACACATTGGAATCGTACATAGAACTTGAATATTTTCTAGTTCAATTAGCGATTCGAAATCGTTGTGTAAGATGTTTTGATTATTGATGTGCAAGATGATTGAACGAGTTCCAAAGATCAAAGTCGCTTTATCTTTTTTCTTTTTTTCTTTCTTTTCTATTTTACAGTATAAATAGAGTAACATATACAACAGGTTTTTAGGAGTAGTGAAAGGTTTTATAGTTAAAAATCATTCACTTTTTTTTATAAGTCGTTTTGTATTGTCATTATTTGTTTTTAGTATCTTAGATTTAAATGGCTTCTATTTTAATAGAATACGTATATAATATCGTTTTTACTTTATACGTTTATATATGAACTTATATCGCTTCTTTAATCGGATATATTATATAAATTAATTATTTGATTCTTTTATTTAATATTTGAGTTTTTTGTCTTTTGCTTAAGTTACAACGAAGTAAATTGTGGTAAATATAATTAATTGCAAAATCTGCAGATTGATTGTTTACTATTCACTCATATGAAAACATTTTTATCATGTAATATATCACAAAGTTTTGATAAACATTGATATGTGTAGATATTTCCATGACGTTTCACCAATTTATTTATTATAATTCGTCGAATAATGAGCGATATACTCTTCAATATCTGATGACTTGTTCATGTGATACGTAATACGACCAGGGATTATCAGAGTCGATTGAGTGACAGGATATTCGTTCATTTGTCGATCTTTTATGGTAGTTAAAATTGATGAAATCTAGTCACTTCCTGTCTAACAATATTTGTATGAAATAAGAATATATATTCTCCGATTTTATATTTGGTTTACATCGCTCATGCGATAATAATCGAATCATTTCATTGTTATACGAATGTATTTATACATTTTATTGGGTTGGCAACTAAGTGATTGCAGATTTTGTTGTTTCCTTCTTATTTGAAATCCGCAATCACTTAGTTGCCAACACAATAATTTCAAAATTAAAGCCTGATGATACCACGGGTAAAATACTTTGAATTTACAAATATTTATTTTTTTAATGCGCATATCGCTCTCAAATAATAAACAATTTAATGTCGTTTAAAAAACTTATTAAAAAAATTTTAGTATTATAATTATCAAATTTTGAAAGTTTCTCCTACACCATCAAAATATACTTCATTCATCAAAAATAGCACAAAGAAACGTGCGCTATTTCTTGTGGACTTACCTTCATTTGATTTGAGAAAGAGATGATAATACTTCTATTGTATAGCTGTGATTCAGTCGGAACGACTAAACGATGAAGTGTTTTTAATACATCCGGAAGAGCACCTAGACCAGGCGAGATACTGGCTTTTGCAAAATCTTCGAGCGTAAATCTTTCGTATGTTTCAGGCGCTGTAGCATACTTCACAAATACATCGTAAAGGTCATTGATCTGACCGACGTAGTGATCAAAATCACGAAAATTTTCTTCCATAGATAACTTCTTTGGTAAATTAGACATTAGTTGCTCTAATACTTTCTGTGTTCTAGCCTGCGTCCTTTCCTCGTAAATATCAAGTTTATGCGACACCTCGTTTATGCGATTTTTTAGTACCTTCTCCATTCTCTTTACAAATACAATATTATCTTCCGCACCGGGTACAGTATCTGCGATAATATCCAAAGTTTGGAGCAAATTATGTATAGTTTCTTGGCCAAATCTAAGTATTTCGCCGATGTCACCAAAGGTGAAGTCTCCTAAGCTATCATTTGGTTGAAAATGAAAGGATATTAAAATAATCAAAATCATTGAAACCACTTCTCCACACCATTTTCTCGTCATTTTTGAACAGTTCTCTGTGATAATCTTTTGCAACTCTTCGCAAATGGTAATAAAGTTCTTATTTTCTTCCTTCCAATTTTTTTCTTTGAATTTTAAACCGATATATCATACACTTTTCAAAGTTAATAAATGAAATGGTGCAAGATAGCATGAAGGTTTTTAAAAAAGAAAGAAGAAAAGAGAAGAGAACATGACATAGCTTACGTTGAAAGGACCGTTGCGACTGACGCGTTGCGACCTCGTGCGTGATTCAGTCTTCCTAAACTACTTCGGATTGGTGGACATATTGAGAGATTATTATATTGGGTTGTTCAGAAAGTTCATAGCGTTTTGAACAGATGTTACTAAAGCTTTTAATGGTCGTCATTTGTTGTATTTAAATATAACTTCAAAAGCGATAATTCTGAAAATTATATTTAAAAAAGCAATAAAATATATTGTAATAACGCTAAAAGATGAAAAATAGGAAATTGCATTTTCCGCATTTAATGTTCTTTTACTATCGTAAGAATAAAACTGCTACTGAGACGAAGAAGAAGATATGTACGGTTTATGAAAATGATGCTATTGGTAAAAGTACGGTACACAAGCGGTTTTCATATCTCAAAACCGGTAATTTTTGTTTGGAAAATGCTCTGACTGATCATCGGTCATTAAAAACAATGAAATAAAGAAATTAATCGAAAATAACCCATGATATTCTACTTAAGACATTGCGGAAGTATTGAAAATATCAAATAGTACCATATATGAATGTTTGAAATGACTTGAATACATCAATCATTATGATGTATGGGTGCCTTGATAAAAAAAACTTAATGGATAATATTTTTGTGTGAAATTCATTATTAAAATATAATGAAAATCGTCCATTTTTGAAATTGATAATTAAAGGGGATGAAAAATGAATTCTGTACAACAAAGGACAAAAGATGAATTACACTTGAAAAGAATTAAGCTATGTATTCGGTAGGATTATAAAGGAATTATTTATTATAAACTATTGAAAAACAAAGAAATCCTTAATTCTCATAAATACTGTCTTTAGTTGAATCTATTACATGAGAAAATGAAAGAAAACAGTCAGAATTGATTAATAAGAAGAGTATTATTTTTCAGCAAGACACTAGATCGCTTGTATGGATGATCTTTTATCTTATCGACATAATACTATCCAATTATTACTTATTAATCTTCTTCCAAAACTTTTTTTCCGATAATGGATCCTTATAAAACTTTTTAAATGATAAAAAATTCAATATATTAATGATTTACAAAAACCACTTGGAATAATTCATTTTTGTAAAAAATTCAAAGTTTTTTGAGAAAGGAATTGTAAAGTACCTGAAAAATGGCGAAAAGTCATTGAAGGAAATAATGAATAAAATATTTATTTTCCACGAATATATCAATTGAATTTTTCTTAAATTTTGTTAAAAAATTTCCAAACTCAATATTATTAGATTTCAAGGAAATGAAAATAACGTGTTATTTTCTCTTATTTTTGTTTAGAAGTATTTTAATGTAGGATTGAATGAGAAGAATTTTATGTTCTTTTTTCGTGATTTAAGGAATAGGTGGACTATTTGAAATATACCTTTCTAAAGCTTTCAATGGAAATATTTTTAATTGTCAGTTGAAATAAATTTAAAAAATTACTTACCAAATAAGAATTATATATAAATTATAATATTTAAACATAAAATTATCTCCTTTTAGGTAGCATTTTCTGAAATTTTAAATGGATTATGGGTACGTAATGGACTGCAAATAAAAGGACAAGCTATGACATATATTCAGTGTAATTTCTGCAATTCAATGGTTGATGCAGATTTATATTTATTACAAATCTGTGCAACAAAACTACAGCCAGATGTTTTTCTAAAAACTGTTATTGAAAAGTAAGTACTTTTTTCCAAAATTGGTAATTATTTCTGTATAAACATACTATATAATATGATATTTGTTATTCACATAGATTTCATGTACGAGAATGGATGAGTCTGAGTTTATATCATGCACCTCAAAATGAATATTTAGAAGGTGAACATGACACTCTTATGTTAGAAAGCTGTTTAACATTTTTGGCAACTCTAGTTAATGTACGAACGAATTTAGGTGTGTATATATTGTTATTATTAAGTATGTAGTACTTCTGTTATACCATTATTTGTGTAAATTATCTTCAGGTTTGTCTGACCCTGAAATGTCCTGTCTTGAAATGGTTACTTTATTATGTATGGGAGATAAAACTCATAGTCAGTTAATGGAATTAATGCCAGAACGGTGTGGCACTACACAGAATAGAGATTTTGAATCCGTTTTAGCTGAAGTATGTCTTTGTTATTTTTATATAGTTTTTAATATATTATTTCTTTTTCTATTTGTATATAATTACTTTATAGGTAGCACAATATCGAGCTCCAAATCTTGAA